ATCCAAACCCTGTATTGTTCAGGGGAGGAAATCCAAATCCGGAATTGTTAAAGGGGGGCAATCCAAATCCGGAATTGTTAAAGGGGGGTAATCCAAATCCGGAATTGTTAAAGGGGGGCAATCCAAATCCGGAATTGTTAAAGGGGGGTAATCCAAACCCTGTATTGTTCAGGGGAGGAAATCCAAATCCAGAATTGTTAAAGGGGGGTAATCCAAATCCGGAATTGTTAAAGGGAGAAAATCCAAACCCTGAATTGTTTAGGGATGGCAACCCAAACCCTGTATTATTCTGGGAAGGCATTACAAATCCTGTATTGTTTGGGAATTTCATAATTCCTTGCCATGTATTGTTCAAGGAAGGAATTCCAAACCCTGAGTTGTTCAGGGGAGATAGTCCAAAGCTGGGAGTGGTCGTGGAGGGCATTCCTAAATTTGTATTGGTCGGCATTAGATTTCCCAAATTGAGATTGTTCTGGCCAGGTATTCCAAGTTGGAACTGCCCTTGGGCTTTTCATTGATTGATAAAAGGGAGGAAGAGGATGGGGGGTGGAGGAAGAGAAAGGAAAAACAACGGTAAAAATGGCGGACTTCTTTTTCCAAAGGATTTGGAAAAGGGGGAAGGGGATAATAGTTAACATTGTATCCAAGCTTTCTTTCAGCTCTTTATTCTCCCATTCTATTTCACTTCGTCCACTGTATCAGAAAGCAGAATTCAAACAGTATGTACGAAAAAGAATACAGTAAACTGACCCCCAAAAAAGAAACGCACGTATTAATTATTTTTGCCTTATAATGTTCAAATACAAATGTAGTGTCTATATGTTAAGAATTTCATTGGAAACACTTTTGTTTGACCTAGGTAGACGGTTCCAGGAGGCTTGGGTCGGTTTTAGGGACAGATTGTGGGAACAGGGGTAGTTGTTTTACCTTCCCTCGTTCCCGTCAATATGATTTGGGTTCCTTTAGGAGCTAGGCTGTTTCGACACTGCCCGTCAAGGCTGAGTTGGTTACAATATCGAGCAGATAGACTGACATGCTCAATTACCATCCCCACCCCTTTTCTCCGTCGGGAATCGAACCCTTATCTTTTGCTTGCAAGAGCGAAGAGCCTATCAACTCGACCACAGATGCTGCCTTGTGATGTACCTTTGTCCTATAACATCCAGGCTTCGAAAATGCTTTTATCTGAGGACTTCAAGATCCGTTTCAAATCGCAGCAAGGCATTCCAAATGGCAAATTGACCCTATCCGTACGCCCGGTGGTTATTTTGTACCCCCGGGGTTGTATTCTTCACATTAAGAATACTTCTAGTACGAAAATCTCTTTGAAACTTTCAGTAATTCTTTTTTAAAAATCATTTCGACAGACTGCAATGCAAAGCGTACGGATCTGATTAACAAGTAAAATTCCTCTTTTGATAGTGGTGGCACAAAGTTCCCCACGCCGTATTGATACGATAGTAAAACACGACGTACAGATAGGCTTAAAATGTCGTTTCTAATTTCTCCAACATCAATGCAACTGGGGGGGGGGGGGGGGGGGGGGTCATGTGTCCTCTCGGCTTTGTTTCCGAGAATACTTTCTTTCATTTAGAAAAATACGATATTTTATTATCTAATTTTCAAGGCGTTTCTTTTTAAGTGGTCAGTATAGCATATTGTGATATTGGGCTGTCCTGTGGGATAAAGAGTATGCAGAAGCAAGGCGTAAAATGGTAACATAGTAACGTAGCCTTAGCTACACAGCAATGGTAATGATATTATTATTATATAAAAGCAAAAAGAGTACATGTAGACTTATGTCAAGAACATTTCCGAACCTGTGTTCTGGTTAGGTTTTCCAAATTGCGTGGCTGCGTGAGCTTTTTAATCAAAAGTGGCAGCGAGGGAAAAAAGAACATGTGCAAGAACATGAAAGTAGAATGACGATGGTGATCACAATGGTCAATGATAATGATAATGAAAAGAGTGATACAATACATTGTTGTTATTACTTTTGTTACTATTTTCATTGTTGGTATAACCTTTGTCATCATCATCATCATCATCATCATCATCATCATCATCATCATCATCATCATCATCATCATCATCATCAACAACATCATCATGATTACTTAATTTTTGTCATTATCATTATCGTTATTATTAATCATTATTATTATTACCGTTATTGTTGTCGTAAGAAATGTGAGAAAAGAGGAAAGTAACAGGCAAAGCCACAGACCATAACAGTGAGTCTCGTGGGTGGGGGGGCTGAAGAGGACAACAAGGCCGACTGATGAGGAGGGACATGGTGCGCGTGCACTGACTGGTGGTTGGGG